TCACAAAGATAATATTTTGCAAAGATAAATAAAATAACTTGGAATGACAGGTCATTAACCGGTCAGGGACCAACGAATGAAGATGAGGTGCAAAGGTTGGATTATTCTTGAATAACGAAAAGGTGAGACTATTCTAAGAAGACTGCTAAAAGATTGGATTATTAGTTTCCATTTTCCCATTAACTTATTAACGTAAGTGCTCTATCCCCATTGATGTCTCTTGGATTTTCTTCGGGATATTACCAGAAATAGGACTAAAAAGGTTTGAAAATTCCAAAATAAGACTGTCATGTTTTTATTCCCAAAATAGGACTAATTACTGCCATGTTTTGGCAGTACCAGACTTCAAACATGACAGTATTTTCCAAACTTGGAAGTAATTACTCCTATTTTGGGAATAAAAAACATGACAGTCCTATTTTGAAATTTTCAAACCGTTTTAGTCCTATTTCGGGAATTTTCCCATTTTCTTCTCACCCTCCCTCATTTCAATATATTCCGAAATAAGTGTCTGTTATTCTCTTTTCAAGAATTTCCCAAACATTTCTATCAATTTTATTTTTGGAAAAACATATAGGCTACAAGTTTATATATAGTAAGATTTAGTGATTTTTCCGATGTATAAATTATATACAAAATTACACTTCTTTATATTTTCACTGAAAATTAAATAGTTTGAAGATAAAAAATGTAAGCATGTGAGCACTTATGATTACTTTTGACTTTGATATTAAGATTCTACTCTGTATTTGTTAATGTTGAGACCAATTTTTTTTTGACAAATGTTGAGACCAATTGAATTTACTGAAATTTATATGTTATAATTGAATATGTTGAATTGTGAAAAATTATATTTAAAAATGGAATTAAAATAGTTAATCATCAAATTTAATAAAATAAGTAAATCTAATTGTCCATATTTTGATTACTATACAATTTAAGTAGCAAAATAAAAAATCAATATTTATTTTTTAAAATTGATTAATAAGATTGAGAAAAAGAAAGATTTCCAAATGGACTCTAGAAATTAGTTTTTGAAAAAAAAACACTATAACTTTAAATTCTCCAAAATAATTTTTCAAACATTACCATTTTTATTATTGTAGATTTTTGAAATAATCCCTAAGTAAATCAACCTTAAGTAGAAGCAAATGAAAATTACTGGTATATCTTAATTCTTATCATAGTTTGACGCCACCCAATATTGAAACCTCTATAAATAGCAATCCACACTCCAGCTAAACCCTTTGACTTACTACCTTAGGGTTTATCAGGCAGCTGAACTTAAGAGGTGAGATACATTTCTAAAAACTTCAGGATGATATCCCATTCGAATGAAGATGTTTATCATTACGCGTATCTGGTTATTGTTGAATGTTAATTTCGTGGATTTTATTTCTCTTGGAAGTGTCAGAGCTGCGTATTTTTGAGCATTTATGCCTGTATTTCGTCTCTTAATGTTGGATGTATTCAATATTGTTCATTAGTTTTAAATGGTTTCCTATCTTGGTTGGCAAAAAAAACTTTTAATGTGTAAATTCCATTCAGTCAAATCCTTCTTCGTTGTAGTGCACAGTTTTCATAACAACCCTCACACGCGGAATATGCTGTGGGTCTCGTGCAGTGTAAAAAAGTCACTTAAATTTTTGTGTGTTCCATGTATTTCATTGTTTGTAAACCTGTTCGTAGTTTTTATTAATGTTATATATGCTTTAGGCGCTGGTTTAAGAGTTTAAAGTTCGTCTGATGAACACAAATGATATCAGTTCATTTTTGGACTAGTGTTTGGAAATGCAATATCATAAATCAAAGTCATTTAGAACTTTGGGGGTGTTTATGCTTCTATATCTTTCTCCGCCTCAAAATTTGGGGATTACCACTACGGAAATTATAATATTATTGATGAAGATTTCAAAGCTCGAACTGGATTACAATGGCGTAGACAGAAAGATAGTGAAGAGCTGATATTATTGAGACACTTCGAGTAGTCTCGCACTCCCAAGCCTAATTCCAAACCCAACTTCTGCCTAACTCCCTTATTCCCTCCTTCCCACTCTTATAGTAGTTATATTCTAACGGGCCAACCCATATTTTCTGACATGGCCCAGAATTCTTATTTATACAATACCACACCTATTTAATATCATTCTATTACTATTATTATATTATTCACATTAGCCTAGGATCCTATGACTAAGTAAATTAATTATCTGTCTCTTTGGTACACAGAAATGGCTTTCTTTAGTCATGCCAGAAATATACTCAAGCAGGCAGCTATCAAGCATCAGATCAGTCATGAAATTTCTTCGTCCAAATCTTCAGTTTTCCAGATTCTGAGATTTATGTCATCATCAAAAGTTTTTGTTGGAGGTATGTGTACTTTGTTTCTCAGCAAATTTGTACAACCCTTCAAATTTCTGAAGATGATTCATGATTTTGGCATTGCAGGAATTTCTTGGAATACAAATGATGCAACTCTTCAAGATAACTTTGGTCAATATGGAAGAGTCGTTGAGGGTATTCACTTTAATTTATGACACAATGCACCTTGTTCTCAGAACAGAATACTTTTTTTATTAATTTCAAAATTTTCCAGTGTTTATTGATTGAGAAACTGATGAAACCCAGAAGTAGGGATTCATGCATGAAATTGATCTAGTTTACGAAATTGTGTTTTTCACAGTTGAGGCAGTTAGAATATTTGTTCGTATTACTCCTTATTGTGCAATGAGATGTAAGCCACATATCCTAGAATTTATACAAAATTTTTAAAAACAATAATAATAATAATAATCAATTTAACTAATGTAGTATAATAAAAAGTAATAAAAAGGCAAGGGATTCATATTGAAAATGAACAAGAATAGGATTGTAACCCCATTAAATAGTAAGTTCAAGCATCACATAATAGAAAATATTGTCAAACACTCAAACCCATCAAAGATTGTTAGATTGAGGAATGAAAAAAGGGTCATTAATATCTAGTCGTTTGAAATTGGGATTAAAACCCAACACCAAATCCACCATCACCGTCAACATCCTCATCCATTATTAACTGAATGAAAATGTAGCAAAAAACACCTTGCAGAAAGGAAGAGGAATCACATTATCACATCATATTGAAGTGTGTTGTACTAACATCAAGGAAAATGTAACACATCATTTACGGGGCAAATAAATTAATGGACATGTGCAGACAATATCTAGATAACCGAGAATGAAGGGCTGCAGAACAGCAGTTGCGAAGACTCGTGGAAGTAAGGTGATTATAGAAGAAAAGAAATGAAGAGTCGGAGGAGTTTTAAAGAATTATGGTTGTTTTTTAAAGTGAGCAAAAGTTATTTAATTAAATCCTGAAAGTGCAATTGCTTGTGCCTCAAAGAGAATTATAATCAGTTAACTTCTGCAGGACATATGTCTAGCTCCATGTTTCTGTTGGTTCCAGTTTCAGTACAATCTTTTAAAGTTTTCTCAAAGCGATCTCGGCTAATCTTAGTATTCTGTTAGTTAACAATTAATGTTGATATGCTTGAGTTTCTGCCAGCAAGAGTCATTACAGACCGTGAAACTGGAAGATCAAGGGGGTTTGGCTTTGTAACCTTTGAGAATGCTGAGGAAGCTAGTGCTGCAATCCAGGCCTTGGATGGACGCGTAAGTCTTCCCTTTCCTCAGTCATGCACGAGATTATAGTACTTATTAGATTTAAAATTGCTTCTGTGACCACTCACCGAAGGCCCGATGGGTGTCGTACAACCTGTTGCCACATTTCATTACGTTTTTGATAATTTTCCATAACAATAATATTTCAAATTTCAAAATGATCATATCAATTTTTCATAATGGTGCAGCCAAGTATAGTTCTCCTAGTTCTACATCATAATCATCTCCACACCCCTGACTCCATGGTCCCAGCCCATCCCCCATCTCAATTGAAGTTCTCCCAATGTGTTTCCTATTTTAATATGTGCATCAAATGAAAAGAAGAATTACCTTTGGTGTGTTAGTGCAAACTGGTTTGTGGTTTGACAGTACCTTTATAATTCTATATATGGCAGCTACTTGATGGTCGCACAATAAGGGTGAACTATGCAAATGATAGGTCACAGGGCTTCGGTGAAGGGTCAGGTGGATATCGTACTGGTGGTGGCAATGGATATTATTCCAATAGCGGCAATAGTGGTTATGAAAATAATGCTGGTTACAGTGACAATTATGCCAGTGGTGGTAGCAACTACAACAACAGTGATGACAGCAGTTCTCCACATTCTGGCAGTGGGAGTTACGGAGATGAAGTTGAGACTGATAACTATGCCAAACGAGCCTAGTTCTCAACCTGAACTTGAATGCCAGATATTTGTTCAATATGAACATGACCTTGGTTCAAAATCCCATAATTTTCTCTTCACAAACACAAGGTGTATCTTTTGTCCTTCCTCTTTGCTTCAATCTTTTCCAAGTGAAATAGTGGCTGTCCCTATTAACTTTTGAGATAATGTTACCAGAATGCTGTGAATTAGTTATTTTGACCGATATTTAAGCTGTTCCTATTCCCCCTATCACGTGTTTAATGTTCTCAAGTGCTGCCAAATCAATTGGGTTTTTCTAAACTTACACTGCTTACCCTTCTTTTTCAAATAAATATTTTCTTTAAGCATTTGAATAAAGATAATTATTTTTAAACAAAGCTTTTACGAAATAGTAGGCACATTCATAAGCATCTAGGTACAAGTGAACTGTGGCAGATAAAAAGGTGATTCAGATCTTTAGAGCTTGTGTATCACCCATTCATAGAGTACATACTAAAGAGTAAAGAAGCAAATTTTTACAATGCAATGTGTATAAAAAACTTACCTCAACAAATAAAGGCTTTGAAGAAATAGGTCCCATCATGTGTAAATAGAGTTCAAATTTCTATATTGTGAATTAATGTTCAAAGGAAAAAAAATATCTTGACAAACGAAAAAATGTATTTATGAGCACATTTTCCCAAAAATATATCATGCAGAATTACTTTTCTTTTTTGAAAATCAAATAACCATTTTATTGATAATTAAATCTTAAAAAGAAACATAACAACTAAAAGCCAAAGCATTACAATCATAGCGTTCAATACTACACTAGGGTGAGACAAAGAACAAAAATGTCATATAAAAGCACTCATGTTCGCTAACCCTGCGACAATGTAGACTCGCACCGCAGTGTATCTGCTCATGCTACTCGAAATGGGTTCGGCTTGACCAGCCACCAAAAAGGAATTATTGAACTTGCCGGTTTTTCCAGCCACTGATAAGGAGCCAAGTGCAGAAATTGTTTCGATTTGACCAGCCACCGGAAAGAAAGCAATCCATCCAATGTCATCTTCCTAAATCGACGGTGGTTCAGGAGGGGGTGATCGGCCTCTATATCGATGCAGGAGAAATCTTGATTCATGATTGATAAAGAAGCCAATACAAACCTCTTACTAGCACACAAGAACACCTGACGGATGATGGCTGGGAATATAGATCTGGCGAGCAACACTTCGCTACCGAAAATAATATATTTAGACAACGCTAGGAAATAAACGTATAGATAGAACTGAAAATACTGATTAAACGGAACTTTTTCCATGATTGTAGTCAAAAGAAGAGAAGAAAAGAAGGAAGGAAGAGGAGGCGGTTAGGGCTCCTCTCTACTATTGATATGTAGTATTGTATAACGGATTATGATGCAGAATTACTTATCGACTCAATTTCATTATTGAGGGCTATTATAGGAGCATAGATGGGATAACTGATAAGAGAATTGTTGAGTAAATAGTACACATACTTGTCTCTTAGACTCTTATATACTTCGTACTATGTATCCCTAAATTATTTTTTTCACACAGACACGCCGAGTCTGTGGACACATTCAAGTCAACGAAGATCGAGTCTGTGGACACATTCAAGTCAACGAAGATGTGAATTTGATAAACAAAATTCAAACTGATCTTCTAGACTCGAGTCAATTTCTTTGTTACAACCTAATGCTAATCGGTGATAGTTCTCTCAAGAGGGTGCATTGGGAACCCGAGTATACGTGAAATTGAGAGCCTCTATTTAATCTCCCTTGCATCTGCATCGATTAAAAGCAACTTAACCCAAGAGTGTAGGGTGAATACTTGGGGGCCAGGATGATTCCGGCTAAGTTCACTGGTTCTTACAAAAAAGAATAGGTTGCTCATGATTTTAACTACTCATTACGAAAATGCATAATACAAGTGTGAAAATAAGGGTGTTTTAAATTGGACTTTAATAGTTGTAAAGTACACATAGAACGCGCCTCTACCAGATCACAGTTATTCAAACTAAATTAGATTTAAACAGATCAAATCAGTCTGGATTAGACGAGTTCAGATCAAACTTAAACATATGAGACCGGACCGGACTAAAACTTTCAGTTCAATTATAGACATCCTCAGTGTATACATGCCAATAGCTGTTTTAGCCAAATAACTCAATTACACTATGTGTAATCAAATGCTCTTTGATTATTTTTTACTCATTTCTTATTGAAGTTCTTTTATCTATGACAATTGTCAAGGTAGAGAATAACCCGGTAGAATAAGAATTTTGTATTGTGGATTGCTCAAACAAAACAAAAAAGAAACCGGGTTCGCCCCTTTTTCATTCAAGTTATTTAGTTTCTAAAGGAAGGCATTTAATAATTTATATGTTAATTGTATTTTCCTTTTAGCTCAAAGAGATTCTTTTAATTGGGGCCGAAATAATAACCAATCCAATGGCTCTTCATTTTTTCAAATGTGAAAGAAACTGTTGAGCATTTTTTTTTGGTCTTCCATTTTTCAAAGAATGAAATTTAAAAAAAAAAAGTCTTTCTAACAAAAAACTGGAAAAAAAAAACTTTGTTCTCTCTATCAAGTATCAATGTTCAAAATCATCGCGGTAAAAAAATGCTCTCTGAGCATTCAAAACGGCTGGAGAGCCCTTCATGGTTTTCTGCACAATGTGCCTAATGAGCAGCTTTTCCATCTCATCATTAACATCACCGTTCTCATCACCAAGTGTGCATTTTCGAATCCAATCTCTGCTATCATCCTGTCGCTGCATGTTTTCATGAGGGCCGAGACTCCGAATCCCAAAAGATATCCCATCAGTTTCAGATTCATTTGTCTTCGAGGTACCTTCAAAAGCCTCACTGTATTCATCAAGAGCATCCCCTGCTAAATCGATATATGTAGGGTCATCTTTAGCGACCGGACTGCCTTTGGTTGAAGGAGACGTCTCCACCTCACTACTAGACAATGCTCTCCAATTATTACTAAGTTGTGCTTCCATGCGACACACTTTCATCTGGCTACGCTCAAGTGCAATTTCAAGCTCACTGACACGTTCTTCTAATTGTAACTGGATGGCCTGGTGGAGCCGCAAGCTTAGTTCCCTGGGCGAAACAGCATAGTTGGCAGAATGAGGGGTGGAGTCGCCACTTCCATCCTGATCTGCATACGGTTGGTGAACAAAATGCCTACTGACGACATCAGTTCGCAACTCTCCCTCAGCTAAATCAGGTACACAGTCTGGGTCAAGCTGCAAGGCATTTGAGGCTGTCAGAACTAGAATATCATGAAACGAGAGATGGAGAAACTGCTGCTTTTTATAAACAAAGGGCATACTATCTATCACATGGTGAGAACCAATACCATCTTGATTCAGTCATCAATGTTAGAGTCGAAATTCTATTCATCTGGTGACGAACTGTATGGCAATTTGTATCAAATGTCTAAACTCTGAAGTGTACCAAATAAATACAATGCTTTCACAATTGGGTAACTATTACCTGACCAAGGTCTGGTTCTCCAGAATGTAAATTACAGTTTTTTTCAAATGTTTCTGTAAGAGTACGAGATTCATCTCGCCTTGATAGTTAATAGTTCTTTACATTGTGGATGAAAACCTATAGGCATTTCTTGAAAAAGTTTACCGCCAATAGGAGTTAAACATCAGTCATGTGCACAAATAGGAGTATCATTGGTTTATGCTGAAAACACGACTCATTCAGTCCTTTAAAGAGTACAAGTAGTTAACTCTTTTTTGGGAGTAACTGAGTCATTTTTAGCAAAAAAACAATAGTAGACCGGATCTACTAGACCCGCTTAAAGAAATGTGTTTACGGAATTTTCTGTTCCTTGAAAGCAACTAACCAGTCTAAAACCAATATGAAATTGCTGCTATTTTATAATTTGATATGTCACCCATCTAAGCAAGCCAATATGAAAAATCAGTCTAAAACCGCCTATTAAATTTCAGTGTAGCAAATAACCGGTTTTAAGAACTGAGGGAAGGTAGTAAGCTAATGCTTGATTGAATTATTTTAACAAACAAGGCTCACTATTCTTATTAGTGATACTCAGTTCTGTACTCAATAGTAATAAGGAAATATTAAGATAGCCATCAATCTGGACAATTTTTTAATATTTAGAATTCTGATCTATGCACCATTACTGAATACACTGCCTATGATCTCCCCCTATGGCAAGCCAAGAGCAGTGGGGATAACGAAAGAGGGAGATAAGGTCCAGCATGTGTTACAAAATTAGAAGCACACATGCAGAATTAACTTTATAAGGACAGACAGAACATAGATACTATAGTTTTAGGAAACTGTAAATTATGTGAACAGTCTAAGTCTTTCAAATAGAGACACATGATAGTGACGTGTTCTTACCTCAACTACGTCAGAATATTCATCATCCAGTTTAAATGAGTTAATGTTGAATTCTAATCTCTCCAGTTCAGCTTCAAGCTCTGCTTCAATTTTACTCATAGATTCACCCTCTGAGTCCTGACAATGATATTCTTCAAAACATTGGTTTGATAAGTTATTCAACTTCTTTTGAGAGGAGAATCCATGCAATAACTCCTTGTTACTAGAGCTGTTATATGTATCTTGGGACTCAAAATCCTCGGTGGTAAGCTCTTTCACAGTTAATGAATCCCTCATTTCAAGTTCCTCTTGTAGATCTTGAACCAAGTTCTCAGTCTGTTTCAGTAACCCATTCAATTTACCTACCTCCTCCTTATGTGCCAAGAGTGAAGAGAATATGCCAACAGATATTCCAAGACAGACAAGAAATGCTCCATTACACGACCCTGGTGCAAATACGGGGTAAGCCATGAGATACATCTAAGGCATTAGAGGTAAAGATCAGTCAGTAGGAAGCCATCAAAAGCTGAAAAGAATATGATAATCATAACAGTTGACAAGAAAAAACATGTCAAAAACTATTTGTCGTTTCATGGATTTGATGTTAAAAAATTGCAGGAATAAAAATAAATCAACTAAAGGTACTGAATACCTTCTGAGTGACAGTGTTTCTCATTCACTTTTCTGCTAAAACTTCCACTGTGGTCCTTTCCTCTATCAGCGTTAGTCTTTTTCATGGTTTCAATATCGGGTAGTTGAGGAATTCCAAACACTGCATCATTCTCTTGCAATAAGACATCTTTTTGCAGCCTATGAAAATCTGTCTGACTTGGTGTACTGAAAAAATCACCACTAGCTCTGCTGATGGTCTGGCTACTGTCCATGACCAAAAATGGCCTCAACATATTTAACGATGAAGAATCTTTTCTAAAAATGTATTCTTCCATTTCCGCTCGTTCCTTGTAAGCCTGGGCCAGTAAGCAGCTCTGGAGAGAGTTTTGAGGCTTTATTTTATGTTCAATAGATTGTTTGCTTCTCAGGCTTCGGTTTCTTCTGAGACTATATGAAAATCGCACATCTGATGTATAAGGGTGATGAGAATAATCATCTGCGGGCACATTGGATTCATCACCTACTTGGGCTCCTTCCAAGTCTACATGATGGCTTATCTCATTCATGGGCCCAATTGTGTGATTTGAAGTAGTTGGTGATGTATTGCAACTACCAGAACTATCCAACATTCTAAGATTTCCAGACAAACCATTTGAAGATGGCGTGTCCGTCATAGTAGTATTTTCATGAGTTAGTTCCCTCTCCCTACGAACATCTTTACCTGCCATATTTTTAGATATCATTCCTAGGGTTGTCCAGTTTGTCAAAATTTGGAGAGTATTCTGTGAGGGTTTTTGTTTATATTTTGCAGTTTTCATATGAGAAAAACATGTATAAAATATCCACTTTACCTCTTAATAAATCCCTCCCAATGCTATATGTCTGTACCAGCAGCAGCTGCCACAATTCAGTCATTCAATTTTCAGCAGCATAACAACACACTTTCCTTTTTCCTTTACAATGACAACTAATTTGATTCCCCCCTGTTATACTAGAGAGAGAGAGAGAATCAAAGAAAGCAAAAAAGAGCCTTAGAGCAACCGCCAAATCCAAAGGAAATTGAAAATGATAAACTAAAACTCTCTTCTTTCAAGCTCTTAAGAATAAGAAAGCTCAAAGCATCAGATATCTCTGATAAATAACCAGTTTCTCAGAGCAGCATCCAGATAACCAAAATCAAGAGCTGAATCAATACGGCAAGACCAAGCTTCAACCATTTGTTATGATAAAACGTTTCAACAACCCTATGGAACCTTCAATCGTCAAAGAGCGTTAGCATTTGACAGCAATGTGCTGATCCAAACCCCCCCATAAACAACTGAAATCCCTTCCCCAGAAAACCCTCTGCCTCTGTGTATTGAAGAAAAGACCGGTATACTAATAAAATTCTTAAAGCCAACCAGAATAGGAGAAGGTTCACGAAATTACCACACAAAAGCCACTTGTGCACTGCTATACCCAAGAGCTGAAACGGTCGA